TCCTCTTTATATGTCATAGCTTTATAACACCAAAACATTGTCTGAGGTTGCATGCCCAACTCTCTACAGTTTTCTCTTTCTGCCAGTATTTACCACAGAGATCCCTTCCAGTATTCCCAGCACGTTGAGCTCAGTCTTCAGTGTTCGTGGTAGCTCCAGATCCAGCCTTCCTCCAGGCAGCTCCAACTGTAATTGGAAGCAATTATGAATCCCATCTGAGAATGCACAAACAAAGCTCATGGCGAAACCGGCCTGTTTTTCACTTCCAAGCGCCAAGTAGTGTGAACATGGATTAACGGCTTATTAAACAACTATTGAGACGTTGGGGTCTCGTTACGAGCGAGGCCAGGCCTGAGTGATTGATGTGGAAATCTCAATCAAAGCCGTCACTCTGAGTTAAGGAGATGAAATGAGATATGACAACACGTCGAGCTCTTTGGGGGCGACGATGAGACAATGATCCTGTAGCTTTAAGACACACATTAAACAAAGTAGTGCTGATATTTCTCCAGTATGAACACGCATTGGTATCCGTTTACTTCACTACAGTTTGGACATGATTTAAAATGACTTAACACGATTCTGATGGTAAAAGAATCCCGAAGCAGCCGGGTCACGTCTCCATATTTGCATGCTAACGGTACGAGAGGAACTCCCCGCCGCAGTCATTCAGTGCCACCACATTATCACTTACAATCCGGGGATCAATGATCTCAAACAAAGGCGGTTGGGGCGTTCATACATTTAACCCTGAATGGAAACCATGTGCTGCACGGGTCAAACTGCAGAAACGTGCTGACAGCGCTGGACAGCCTCGAGGTGCAAATCAGCCCAGAATAACTGTGGCTCGATTTCTTTTTGTAGAAAACCCGTCTTTGTTGCCACCGTTGGCAGGAAGTCAATTGTATGTATTAAACTACCAACAATGCTTGGCAGTCATCGATAGGGCCTAAATGAGTGCATATGGTGGGGTCTCGGTGTCTTTTTGATCAGGTTGAGATTTTAATGGATTTTTCCTCGCCTCTGACAGACCAGGCTGATTGCTGCTGGGGGTGGTGGTGGTGGTGGTGCGAGGGGGGGGGGGGTTTGGGGTTGGGGTTTTAGCCCGGCCCGGGGCAGACTGCAGCCAGCCACTGGGGTCACTTGAACCTTGTGGTTTCAGAGCAGAGTGCTGAGACACAGAGAGCCAAACGCTGCGCTCACAAGTGTCCGACAGCGAGAGAGTCAGGAAGTCTGGCGACTGTAAACCCCACCAGCAGACCCCCCCCCCCCCCCCCCCTGCACCCCCCTCCCCCAACAACACCACCAGCACTCCTCCCACCGTCTCATACACACTCCAAGACAAGACACACCAAGTAGGCACTAATGCTCACACACCTGAATAACTACACTTTTAAGGACATTTGTATTGACTTCATTCGTTCTTTGCAGGTTTGGACTGATTCTAAAAATAACTAACACAAAAAATAAAACTACTAAACTAATCACATTACTTTTGGTGTGTTTGTAATTCATGGAGAATAATTAATTTTTGTTTACATCAAAGCAGAATAAGGCTTCATTTGAATTACAGTACACAGAATAATGGGGATTTCCCATCAATGACTCAAGCTATTGTGAATATTCTGAGGTTTGGATGCTTACAAAATAAAGATACGACCTTTAACCCTACAGTCAAATATAAAACTAAAAAAGTAGACTTCTTTAAAAAGTTGTTTTATGTGTGTAAACAACAGTCTCATTGTTCCATTCATAACACGTTCAGGTCAATAGCTTGGGGTTCATATTTAAAAAAAAAAACTTTCTGTTCTTTTACATGTTAAATGTGCTTTATGCAGAAACCCAAAAAAAACAACTTTAGAAGGTTTAAAACTGAATGATCAGGTTCACCAAACCAAGACTCCTGTGACTATTTTCAAAGACAGATGTAACATTCTTCTTAAACAGAGGCATTACTTGGAAATCTTTTTCAACCATGTGACTTAAGTAAATAGGAGATGCATTAACAAAGGTAAGCGTATTGTAAAAATAAATACCTGTAATATAAGACACGCTCTGTAGGATTATATTTCCACCAGGAAGTCAACCATTAGCATGTGTCTGAATACATCGACCCATTTCCACTTATATTCACCAAATTACCTGAGCCTTAAATGCACTAAAATGTAAAAAAAAAAAACATGCTGTAGGTTGACTGTTCTTATGAGAAAACACGTTTATACATTCTGATACAGTGACAACATTATAATTAAATCTATAAATGTAAGTAGGATTAACATGGATGGTGTTAAATAAGGAGCTAATAGTCGTCACGGTTGGATTATGAACATTTTTAAAGAGCTCCTGACACTTTTCTTGGAAAGAAAATGCTCAAATCCGATTCATTGTACAAATAAGAGTTAAGTGACCTGAAACTCTTCACTGTAGAGTACTTTTTTTCTTTATAATACATACATACGAACAGGCAAAAATACTACATTTTGAAAAAGTTAATAGATTAGAAAGACTGATCTATTTTCTTAATTTCTTTGACTTGTTTCAGAAGTGTATGGAAAGTACACAATAACTGTAAGACTTCCTGTCTTTAATTCTTTTTTTGTTGTCATTTTTTAAGAGCCTGCTTCTAAACTTAGCGTTAAAAATCAACGTCTCATTTCCTTTTTCCCATCCCTCCGTGTGAATAATGAGATACAGTAGGAGCGGACATGCCCAGCAAAGGTAGACAGGAATTTAGCGGAGAAAACAACAGATTTGCAGGCAGACTAAGTGCTTGAGTGAACAGGTTAACAGTGACGGGGCCCTGAATGGCTGTGACAGCGAGAAAGCAGCGAGAGGCTCCAGCTCTGAAGGGGGAAGTGACCCGGAAACGGTGTGTAAGTGCAGCTCGCCGGGCCCTTTAGGAAGAAACTGTGCATGAGCACTGATGCAAGTCCGCTAAATCCTCGATTTTCTTGTTTCTGTCGAGCTTTCTGCACACATGCATCCCTCAGACTCTGCACACTCATGTAAAGACAGTCAGAGAGCGGGGGGGGGGAGAACCTCTGGCTCTGTTTGTTACCTGCACAGACGTCCAGTGACTTCTCAGGAGTTTATCTTTAAACTCAGAATTTGGAGCCGTCTAAACAGAAGCCAGTGACTCCAGCTTTATGACGTCACAACATCATGACTTTTCTTTGCTTACTTACTTCTTGAGCTTCTTACTCTGAGTCTCTGCTCAGATTTACTGTGAAGAGTTAAACTGTACATTATGTACAATAAGAGCTCAGCGTGGAATTATGCAAGAGCCTGCTTGTTTTTTTTTTTTGTCACTCTCATTAGAAACATATCCTGATATAGGCTACTTACATACAACTTCTTTGATTCTTATATTGCTCTAAACAAACATTTATTCTGAGTTTTCACAATAAAATTAAATTGCCCAAAGAGTTACATTTGTTCTTATAAATGTGTTTGTAACCCTCGTGTTGAATTTACAAAGCGTTAAACAGCTTGAAAGTAAAGTCACTTTTTAATAACTTTTGCACATCAAATACATAATTCCCTATCTCTCTTTTTTCAGAATAAAGGCGCTCTGCTCTAACTATAAACTTTTATTTTTATGTTGATTAGTAGAGCTTGACTTGTTTTTTAAATCAGGACACAAAGTGAACTCTTTGACTTGAACGTATATTAAAAAAAAAGATTTCCGCCCTGTCTCTCTCTCTCTGCCAGAAGATTTCTCAAACACACAAAAGAAAAACTTCATGGAAAAAAAACAAAAACACAACTTAAATGTTTGGGAATTAAATGGGAAATGTTTCTAAAAATTAAAAAATATTTAGTAGAGATCGATCTAATTAAAATATTTGAAACATTAAGCATCCTGACGTAGCACATTTTCATGATTTTACATTTTTACTTCTCTCTGCTAAATAATGCAGTGATAAATAAACCTTTTGAAACAGTGTTTCTTGTCACCTTGATTCCCCAGACTATAGGATAAAAAAGTTTTCTATTTCAAACTGAAGCACACCCAAAACCTCCCTCTGTTTCCTTCTACATCTTTAAGTCAAGAAATGCTGCAAAATGCCAAAACATGGATGACAAATGTGTTTTCTATTAAAAAGTGTGAAAAACAGAACTTCAAACTGTTCACTATGGCTATAACCACAGCTTGTGTAACAAAGGTATACCTCTCTTTTTTAATTTAATGTCACAGCAGTATTTAAGTTTCAACTAATAAATGCAGGTCAACTATTTATTTTAATTAGTAGCAGTATTTGTCCTGTTTACAAGCTAATAATTAGTAACGCCATAAATAATTTTCAAAATAGAAAATTATTTTTATCCACCAAATCAATCGGACTGAACGACACATGGGAATTTTAGGCCTTTGATAGGTGGAACAGGAAGTCCAAACCTGTCTAAATTCACTAAGATTGCAATTATTGAGTTTAACACACACTTCTTGGTCTATATGCAAAAAAAACAACAACAGAAAAGCATAAAGATTCTGACTCTTTGTGTGTCACTAAAACACAGAGAACTGTTTATATGAATCAATAAAAGCATTATGAATGAAAAAATCATATTCAGGGATGTTAATTATTTCTGCACTGATTCTCTGAACTTAAACTGTTTATAATAATCTTAAGGATTATTTCACAATATGTTTTTCCCTATAAAAGCTAATAAGACAACCTGGAGAACTTTTCAACTTTTCATCAAGTTCCTGCTCAGAGCAAAGTTTCAGATTAATCTGGCAGAGAAACTTTAACCTTGTTCACTCTGAAAACAGAACTTTGAAACTTTGGAAAAGAACTTAATTTTACATTTTTTTCCCCCTGCCCATACCTCGTCCTCTAAACGAGAAAAAAAACAAACAGTTCAAAGTTGAAAAGCGGGGCTCTCGATGTCAGGGTGGTAAACTCCAGGTAACGCCAGAAGCACTCAGATTTAAAAAAAAAAAAAAACGTGTTTTCCCCCTAATATAAAATTCAGTTCCAGTCAAAACATTCAGATAAAATTCCAAATATTACATAGTTTTTATTGCAAAATGGAGCATAGTCATGATATAGCAGCTGTCTTCACAGTGTGACAGTCCGTCATAAGAAAGGTCGAGTGGAAACAGCCGAAAAACGTGTTTCATTAAGAATCCAAACTAATAACAACGAATATATATACTGAAAATAAGGCCATTTAAATACAATGAATTATTGCTCTAAAAACTTCATGAGGGGTAAAAAAAAAAAAGTATTATGTGGGGGTTACGAAGTTGCTGCAGCTTCACTCTTACATTCATATAGATGACTTCAAAATAAAACTGCTGAGAGGAACGTAATGCATGCAAATGTGTGTGACGATAGAGTGTTACTTATAGCATTTAATAATAATAATAATATTAATAATAGTAATAATAATAAAAATGAATTGCAGAGGGTCAAAAAAAGTGGCACATGCATGTCGTTGATATGTTGACATCGAAGTTGGGAGATTTTTTTTTTTTTAAAGAATTAAAATACAAAAAAAAAAAAAAAAAAAAGTGTCAGTCCTATCTAAAGATTTCCACACACTGTCCTCGTGCTCCCAAACAGAGGAAAGCGTCAGTCTGCGTCAAACAGGCCGAAGTATTTGCCAGTGTTGGAGAAGTAGATGTAAGGCGCGCTGTTAGCAGCCGGGTACATCACGGGGAAAGGCATGGGTAACAAACATCCGCCCAGCACGCTGCTGCTGTCTTTGTAAAAAGTCGGTAATTGCACGTTTTTCGCAGCCTCCGACAGCTGCTCTGCGGCCAGCGGGGCCTCCATGTCCGTGGACAGCTGCCTCTTCAGCTTGTTCCTGCGGTTCTGGAACCAGATCTTCACCTGGGTCTCGGTGAGCTGCAGGGAGCTGGCGAGGCACGCTCTCTCCGAGCTGCTCAGGTAGCGCTTCATGTCGAAAGTGGCCTCCAGCTGGAAGATCTGCCTCTTGGAGAAGATGGTGCGCGTTTTCTTCTTCACTGAGGTTTTAGTGTCCGGGCTGGCCTGCTGCTGCTGCTGCTGCTGCTGCTGCTGCTCCTGCTGCTGCTGGTGCTCCTTCTCCTCCTCCTGCTGCTGCTGCTGCTGCTGTCGCTGTTCGGATGCGTCTTCTGCGGTGTGCGCCCTCTGCGTCCCGGGACTGACGCCATCAGTCAGCGGTGTCTTTTCACCGAGTCTGGGCTTCTTTTGCGCTGCGAATGAAGCCACAAAACCAGCTTTGATGCATTAACAGCCGGCTTACACATTTGTACACAGTTCTATTGGTGAAAAAAACAAAACAAAAACAACAACATGCGAGAAAGGGTCTGATTATAGCTTTTGCGCGACTTCCCTCTTACATTAAGAACACCATCAAACTGCCTCTAAACACACACAATTGCATCTTTTCCTTTAAAATCACATAAATATATTCATCTTCTGTGTCTCATTATAGTTTGCGTATATTTGTTAAAATCCCTACCTGTCTCCTCAGCTCCGCCTGATCTCCTCCGGACGTCCCACACCTCCTCACCCCGCGCCTGAAACTCACTCTTACATCCCCCGTCCCTCCGCTCCGAGCCTCCCCCTCCTCCTCCTCCTCCTCCTCCTCCTATTCCTCCGTCCCGCTGCTTCAGGTTGAGGATGTTGTCGATAGTGAAAGTCAAAGAAGCGCTCCGGCTCGGGGCATCCTCTTTGCTCATGTTCCCCGGCATTTCACCCGCTCCTCTGATAATCCCGAAACGGCGTCGAGTCCGGACGCTCCGAGCACCATCGCTCCCCGGCTGCGACTAGCGCGCGGAGAGAGGAGTACGCGCGACGTTCCCCAACGACCCGGAAGAGTGTGCTTTAGCAGCTTTTGATTGGTGAGGTGGAGGGGGCAGAGGAGGGCGGGATGCAGAGCTGCGTCTGGCTGCCATATTGAAGCTTTTAAACACCTTTCTGTCATCCGAGTTCAGGCATGCTGGCTTGATGCGCTATAACATTTTTTTTTTTTTTTTTTTACTTTGAAGTCCTCCTGACGTGAAGTTTATAAATCCTGGATCAGCTCAGAGTTGGTCATGAGGTGAAAAAAAAAAAAAAAAACAATGAATATTTGATTTCCTCACAATAGAAACACTTGTGTGTGGGGTCATGGGGATTATAGAAGCTAAAGATGTATTTTGGGCAACACGTTTTCTATTTATTCTTTATTCTTTTATTTTGTAGTCTTCAGTTTTTCTAATATTTATGTTTTTTTCTGACTTTTAATTTTCAACGTGTGGAAGCCCACCCTCTCAACTATACTGACTATTTAATCAACCGCAGTTTGTTCATTTTACTTTTCTCACGAATTTATTATAATAAAACATACTGCATATATCTTTTTTCAAATACTAAACTACTCCTTAAAACTTTTATAAAAGTCACAACATTTAAATCCAAAGTAAGAAACCCAACAACAAAATGTGTGCATAAACTTTATTCACATGTGAACATATCAGTGTACAAAAGTCTGTATTAAAATCCTCTTAAATAAGAAAAACAAACTGTGTCAAAGAATATTTCTAATAAAATGACAAAAAGTCACAAGCACCATATTTATTTTTTTCTCTTTAAAAAAAGATCAAGTGTTCACATTTCGTAGCCCGGTCCAAGTTTACAGTGTGTTTTACTCTCAAATAATGTGTGTGTGTGGGGTCAAATAGGGGTCAAAAAGATTAGGACATAGAGATAATTTCCAAATGTGTAGATATCTAAACCTGGTGAGACAATTAATAATGTGTAGCTAAAGGCCTGAATGTTGTTTATTTTAAAATAACCTCCAGAGTACATTTAAAACAGTAAATACAAGCAAATTAAAAAAAAAAAATTCAAAGTGCACATTTGGGCTCTTAAACTGGGGGCACAAGTCATACTTTTAGCTTCAAAACAGGTTCAATGTCAGAATTTAGAGTTTCACTGTTTCCTCCTTTGAATCTGTACATTTTCGACAATCTGGAATTTCCCTCGTAATTTTCTTAAAAGCTTTTCAAACTAGGGCCACAGGCTAATATAACACACGCTTCAAATCTTCTTGACCTTATTTGATCCCATATGTGTGAATCATTCATACACACTTTGTTGTAAAAATCATCACAAAATAGAACTATATCTGCAACATGTTTGTCCTGGAGAGAATCGTCCTCCATTTAGGCCCCCGAGAACAAGTTGTGTGAAGCCTAAATAGTGGATTAAATGCTAAAAATGTAAATAAATGCTGGTATTTATAGGATTGTAAATCAGCCACTCAATGATCATTATGTCCCACGAGATGACTGATCCACTTTAATCTAAATCTGATAAAAGAGCCAAACACACTGTGAATTGACTTCATTGTTTTTGGACTCAACAGGATCTGAAACTGAGCTAAAAACTAAAAATTTTTGCAGCATCTTAGTTTGATTGATTGATGTAAAAAAAAAAAAAAGAGTCTCAAGTGTGCTCTGTCTCTTTAAAGTCCCACTAGTCCGCTCATCTGTGGCGTTATGAACGACAGCGGGTGGGTAAAGGGGGAAGTCAATGGGTAGCTGATGGAACTGGAGAAGCCGACCATGGGTGGCGTCACAGGGGCGGAAACGTTCTCGCGATACAACACGGGAACTCTGACCACCCTCTGGCCAGCGTAGGGGATAGAAGCGGCCGTGATGGCGCCGCTGGCCTCCATGTCTGCCGCAATCTGCCGCTTCCACTTGTTCCTGCGGTTCTGGAACCAGATCTTCACCTGCGTCTCTGTGAGCTGCAGCGTGGCGGCCAGACCGGCCCGCTCGGAGCTGCTCAGGTAGCGCTTCATGTCGAAGGTGGACTCCAGCTGGAAGACCTGACTGCGGCTGAACACGGTGCGGGTTTTCTTCTTTCGGGCCACTTTGATGTCACCTGAGAGGAGGGCGAAGGAGACATGTTAGACAGCTGGTAGAAGTGCTCTAACAGTGTGGCTTAAATGGGGTGCTATCTTTAGAAAACACTGAGAGGCAGATGGAACAGGGCTTGGTGACACACACAAAAATCACACGTTTGTTTCAGAGATTAAATACCTTAAAATGTATTCAGTCTCATTGGGGTATTTTAAAAATTGAATTAACAGGTGCCTTATAAAGTGTTTGTCTCTTTGGACCCTGAAAATCTGAGCTACACCCCTGCTGCTAAAATATACAAATTCAATAAATCCTGTTTGCTGAGAGTTCAGGCGAAAGAAAAAAACAACAACAACAATTCATCATAAAACAAACTACATTTTAAGGGTTCTAAATTACCACCAAAATACACATCTTGGATAGGTGGAACTGCTATCCTATTATTACGCCGAAGCGTTTCAGCAGGAGAGCGCATGCGCGTTGAGCACACGGTGGAATAAATATTTATTTCTTTATCAAAAGTTGGGAAGGCGCGTGTCGGCCTCACCTGTGTCACAGCTGTCCTCTCGTGAGAAGCAGGAGGAGCGCGCGTCCTCCTCCTCCCTGTCATCCGTCAGACTCTCGTCTCCCTTCTCCTCCTCCGGCTCCTCGTGCTCCTCCGCGCGCCCTGCTGGAGGAGGGGAGTCCCGGTCGCTCATGTGCGCTGCACTGTCTGAGTGCTCATCCCGTGGACCTACAAGTAATAAAATATTTACAACCAGGCTTTGTGTCAAACAAAAAAAAAAAAAAAAAAAGCACAACATTTCACGTATTTTTCCACTTTAAAAAAATGCGCTTTCACGCTTTTTTTTTTTTTCGCTTTCCATGATTATAAAGAACCTTCATCTCTTGTGTTTGGAGCATCAGAGTGAGATTGTTGTTAGGATGCCAAACACTGTTGGCTTAGCACAAGCTGATAATTGGGGAGTTTGCAAGGTTTACGCACGGAGGCAGGGGCAACAAAAAGCAAATGTGTAAGTGTCCCCCCTTCTGCAGCATATTTAATAACCCAAATGTGGACGTCAGTGTTTGATGTATGAACGCTTTTCGCTGATTTCGCCTTTCACCAGGTCCGTGTAGTACATTGCAGGATTTTACGCACGGACGGTGGAGGTTTCATTATAAGAATTTGACTCCTTTTTCTTTTTTGTTGTCATAGTAAATACTTTTTTAATCACAATTCAAACCTGAAACCCGATCTGCGCGAATCAATAAACGATGCGAGCGCTGTTGTTTCTTCCCTCTCAACGTCATTTGTTATTCCCACGTCGCTTTGCGAACAGACAAAGACGGAACATTTTTGACAGCTTGCCACTCACTTCTTGTGTTCGGCGATGTCCCGCTCCGAGTCAGCTCTTCCCTGTCCTCTACTACACGTTTAGTTTCCACTGCCGGACACCTCGCCGGAGTGTGTGAAACTCTGAGGCTCGGGTTCTCCCCCCGCTCCTCCGGCGAATCCCTTCTGAATGCAGTCCCCAGCAGGTTCTCGATGTAAAAAGACGAGCCTCTCAATGGAGGACCCAGCCGTGATCTCGGCGCTTTATCGTCTAGCATTATGACCTTTCAGTCCTGTCCTTTTTTAAAAAATGATATTTAAAAAAGGAGTATCCAAGATTCCGGTGTCATGAAATTATTCCTGGGAATGTGCTTCGTTTCCAGCCAGCAGAGTCTGAGGCTCGGCGTGAACCATCCCGACGCGACCCATGCGAGCCTCAACTGCGCGAGATCCAGACAGAACTGTTCGTCTTGAAGGGACTAACTCCAGATAAAAAAGAAAAAAAAAAAAAAAAAAAGGAAAAAGAAGCAAGGAGACGGGCTCGTTATCCAGAGTCTCTCTTGCAGGCTGTGCGATAGTGTGCCTTGAGGGAGCAGAGGATCTGTATTTAGGTCAAGCAGGGAGCGGGAGCGGAGACACGGAGCTGTCCTCAGGCTGGAGATGGAGAGGCTTCATGCAGAATGGCACAGTACCGCCTATTGGTTACATTTGTCCATGCACGCGTTGGATTAAGCATGCACACTGTAAACCTGATCTTACCTCCATGTTAATACTCTCCACTATTAGCTGCATAGTTCAAATTCATATTTAACATAAACCTGCACGTGCATTTATGAGAACTGATTATAATGAAAGTGAAGCTTCTTATCCAAGAGACTTTGATATTTCAGTGTAGGAAAGTGAAGCGTGTTGGGTGGGATGGAAATTATTAAAAAAAACAAAAACAAAGCGGAAAACATATTTAAATCATCGCTGCGATGCTTCATGAAGTTAAAAATAATTACGTTAAAGAGCCAAAAAATATACAAACTAAGTTTACACATCGAGCCTGCTCAGGACACTAGGATCTGAAAAAGAGTACTTTTGATGCGAATTTAAATCTATTTTAACAGATACATTTAAAAGCTGAACAGCATTAATCGTTTTTAAAAAAAGACTTATTTTTCCTGATTAGAAAATCCCAGTTTTTTTTTTACATTTAGGCCAAATTACCGTCGAGTGTATCCACGGGATACTTCACATGTTTATTTTGTCTTATTGAAACCGTTACAGTTGATTATTAATTGTATTTATTTAAAAGCTGTACATGTGAGAATTAGTAGTTTATTATTATTTTTTATTATCATTTTTCAAATTCGCATAATTTAAAAGTACATATCTTTAAATCTACAGCCATTGACTTTATTCATTTACTAGCTGGAAACTACTTCTAACTACTTCCTTTTTTAACTGGAAACAAAACAAACAATATTTATTTTATTGTAAAATAAATAGAAACACTAACTTTTATTTGTAAAGCCCTAAGCATGTTTTTTTTTTTAAACCACAAAAATATCTTCTAATCTTGGCATGTTCTCCTTTCTATCATTGTACTCCAGGATTTATCAACATTTCAGTATGAACTGAATGACACAAGAGGTCTCCTCTGTTTCTACAAACTATATTTAAATTGAGCCGATAATCAAACTGCAGAAACAGAAAAGAATGTGAAGACAGATTGTAATTGCACGGAAAAGAAATCCTAATTCAGAGTTGTTTGTTTGCAAACATGCGTTTCCATACTAAGCACCATATCCCCAGCGGCCTCATCAGTCACAACATGATCTTGCCTCTGTAGTGTGAAACATGTTCTTTCTCCCTGCAGCAGCAGGCCTGTCTCACTTTCACACTGCCTAAGCGGCTGAGTCGGAGGCATTTCAGCGTGGTTAAGAAATCTTCCTAAAGCCTGATATGAACACTCAAGTGTAGCTTAGCCATGGAGAAGAAATGTACCCCCCCCCCTCCACACCATAAAAGAGCCTTTGCAGCCTTAAATGGCCGTAGATGGCCTGTTGTAGCTTAGCGTGAGTTAATTAACGCTGAAGGTGGAAAATATTTAGTCAGCTCTGAAGCTGTGAACAGTGGAGTTAAACAGCACTACGTTTGGACTCGTAATAGGATTGGAGCAATGAAAAGCTTACTTTCATGTGTAAGTAGCCTTAAACAACTGCTCGGGAACATTCCAGGTTTTCAGGCTACATATTGATCAATCTCCATGGAGCCAACTCTCTCCCTATACTCCCTACAACAGAAACCACATAATGCTGGCAGAAATGTCTGTTACAGACTCTTTTAAAAAAGGAAACAGAGGAGAGTAGTAATCTGCACAGCTGACCGGCCGTCAGCTAAGAAAGGCGGAGAACAACAAGCGTTTGTTTGCGCAGGAGAATTGCTCACAATTGTTCCCATTGTGCCACTAAATTGACTTTGTTAAAGCCTCTTTGGAAGTAATAGCCTATCAACCTAATACTCCCTGGCTGTGGGCTAACACCTCCACAGACATTTGTACATGAATTCACAAATTACAAGAGGATTTGACATCAACTCTAAGTCATGCAGAAGTAATTTAACTTATTACTTAGCATATACGTTATAATTTAACACAGTATGGAACATACTTGATACTTTTTCTCTTACAGGAAGGTGAAGAATCTCAGATTTATTATTGTCAGAATGACTCTAATCCTAATCTGATGTTTGTTCTCACTGGTTTCTTGCACCTTTTAAACAAAATGTAGAACAATCAGGTTTAAAACTAACACCAGGAGTAAGAAAAATGCATTCAAGAATGTACTTCAGGGTAAAGACACATTTTGTATTGTTGTGATTAAAGCGCCTGTGATACTTGGTGTTGTGCTGATTTTGCTGACCCCCTGTGGATTCAGCGGAATAACTTGTCTCATTGCTACTCTCGTCCTGTGCGTGTGAAAAGTCGATTTTTCTGACCAAAAATGTTCATCCTTCTTTATTTTGAATTTCTAAAAAGCAACTCAAGGAGTCTTTGGCGTCTAGAAATGTTAGCACCACCGTTTCAGCAGCGTGCTTTAAGCTGCCTGCCACACACCTTCCCATACTGCAGGGCTGACGGCATTTATAACCAGCATGAAAAAAACAATCAGTCGTCTCTCTGATAATAATAATAACTTTATTATTATAGCATTTTAAAAAAACTGTTTACAAGGTTCAACAAAGCAGCCCACTGATGAGATAACCAATCAACAACTTAAACTCTGATAGTAAAAACAAACAAACAAGAACCCGACCAACATCAGAACCCAAACATCATCAGAGTTCAGGCAGCATAATAACTCATAATAACTCAGGCTACACAGGAACCCTGCAGACAGGTTGAGACCGAGAGGACCAACGAGTAAGAAGATAAATCAACAAGGAAAAGTGTCAAGAAGCTGTAAAAAGAGAAATATTAAAGAAGATTACAAATGGATACGAGGGGGTTATTAGCTGAAGCATGAAATAGATTAAGGGCAGTGAAAACATTAAAGCAATAGAAGCAGTCAAAAGGAGCTGGACTCAATAGAAAGAGATAAAAGCATTAACATAACACAAGTGACGTTTCTGTTTGCTTCTGTAGGTCAGACAGAAGCATCAGTCTGTTTTTATGAGCAGCTCAAATCTCCTCAGGAGCTTTAAGATGATGAAGCCGCTCAATAACTTTGGATGTGATCATAAGTCCCTTCAGATGATCGTCCATCATGAGTCTGCTTCTGCTCAACGTCCTGCCTGTTAGAAGGACGTTTCTCTTCCTGTCACTACTGCGACATGTTTGCTCATTGGCGGATAAATGTTTAATCTCTGTTGGAGATAATGTAAAGAGTACAGCCAATCCTGACGCGACATACAGTAGATAAATAACAAACTGATTGATATTCCTCATGAAGTAAAGTACTATTTAAGTTTCATAGATATTTAAAAAGTGTTGAGCACTAAACAATCAGCCTGTGTAAATGTTTCTATAAACTTGTTCTGGTGCACTTTCCTCAGATTTTTATTGACCTTATAACCAAACAACCCTCCAACCGTCTTCATATCCTGTTTGAAATGTTGCTGAATCCTCATTGGTGCATGGATTTTTTTTTTTTTTATCTTTTTTTTTTTTTACATGAAGCCCCGCCCACTCCAGAGGGGATAATACTCTGAAGAAAAGAGAGAAATACAGAAATGTCATAGACGCACACTTCAACTGTTCTGCCGTGATCCTGTGGCTGTGTGTTCATGTTGAACCATCACACAGAGGAAGAACAGGATGGAGAAAAATACGTCTTGTGTCCCTTTTTTTTTAAATGAAGCAGCGACCTTTTGCACCAATGACAGACTCTTGTGTGAATGTTTTACAGCAGTGTTGGCTTCTCTCTTTGATTTAGAAGTTAAAGCTTGGTGGGAAAAAGTCTAAATATCTGAATGTTTAATTTTTTTTTTTTTTAACAATGATGGTAGTGATTTTATTTTGAAATCTGTACGGCTCACATTCTCATTCTGATGTGAGCTTTCTTTTTAGCTTTAGTGGAAGTATCTGAAGTGGAAACACATGATCTGTTAGCAGAAGTTTACAATCGCTACTGCTACTCCCCCTTTCTACTTTTCTGTGTAAACTACATTTTCCACACTGCTTGAAAAGTTGAGTTGTCCCAGCATTTACAAAAAAAAAAAAAAAAAAAAGATGCAGAATGACAAGAAATGTGGCCTTCTGCTGTTTCTTCTTCCCCCCAATAATCTTCTCCCAACAATAATGTGGACGGACATGTTTTTGTGACAGTTTGAAGCGAGCGAGAAGTGACCTAATGCCACAGCGAGATAACACTTCCTGTCCTGTCCGCTCTCATTGAGGAGCACTAAAAGGAGAAGTTCACCATCTTAAGGTTCGTGAAAACAAAGGAGCCTTATGAGCTACGATGTGCTGAAGAGCTTTACTTTGACACTTCTGACTTCATGGCATAACAACGTCTTCTAGAGTATTTAATGTGCAAACAATTACAATCATACAGGGAATTTATGAATTTATTTATTCCGGAAAAAAACAGAAGGATTAGCTAAATGTGTTTTCTAATCTTAAACTGTTTAAAGGCATGTGACCAATTTAAAGAAGAAAGAAAATCCTTTGCTAAAGTTTAAGTTGCAAACCTTCAATGTAAAAATTCTTCAATACTGGGTTTTTGATTTAGCATCATATTTGTAAAGTGGTTCTAAAGTCAAAAGTGCAATATATTCATCTGAAATGCAGAGTGGTGTAAATTAAAAGTTTGTAGAAATGTGGAGGGAAAATAACTTAAAGCAGCACGGCTGTCATTTTTTTTTTCCGACC